CTATTGTGGCCTAATATTAAACACAGATGTATTTGTGACAAAAGCCATTAGGATTAAAAACATTTTATAATGCCAAAGACTAAAATTCACAGTTTAAATATAAGCTATCAATAGCAATGCATTAATTCACATAGCAAAACTAATAAGGAAAAAAAGGCAATTTTATTTTAAAAAAATAGAAACACTGTAGTGGTAGAAAATAGGACTCACTTTTCTTAGTTCATGACCAATCGAGTGATCAAAAATTAGATAAGGATATAGAAGATATAAATAACATAATTAATAACATAACTTTGATATATATATTACATTCAACATACATACAACACATACACACATGCATGTGCACACACCTGCACAAACACACTTACATACAGATAATGAAAAAAACCTTTTCGGGTGCCCGTGGAGTATGGAGAAACACTGATTATATAATAGGCAATTATACAGGAGCCCACCCTTTCATAATTCTTACAAATTACAATAGTAGTTCAGTTTCTAGGAATGACATGCTAGGTATTTATAACCAATTTTCCCTAGTGGGGGCAACTAAAGAAAACTGGGTGAAATATAAAGGAAGGGCTGAGTGTGGTGACTCACCTCTGTAATCCCAGCACTTTGGGAGACCAAGGCAGGCAGATCACGAAGTCAAGAGATTGAGACCATCCTGGCCAACATGGTGAAACCCCATCTCTACTGAAAATACAAAAATTAGCCTGGTGTAATGGCACATGCCTGTGATCCCAGCTACTCTGGAGGCTGAGGCAGGGGAATCGCTTGAACCCAGGAGGCAGAGGTGCAAGGAGCCAAGATCGCGCCACTGCATTCCAACCTGGGTGACAGAGTAAGACTCTGTCTCAAAAAAAAAAAAAAACAAAACAGAAAGAACAACAACAAAAAGAAATATAAAGTAAAGAACCAACAAAATTTTCTTAAAACTCAAAGTTGTTGGTGCTCAAAACATTCGAAGTACTAAAAATTCATATCAAAATCCAGTAGAAGGAAAACACCCAACGCTCATAGCCATTTTTACCCAAGATCATCTGCCAAACTTGAGCAAAGAAACAGCCAAACTGAGCTATGCTTTGTGGTCTTACAGGGCAAATGTAAGAAAAGTCAAACCCAGGCCCAGTAAAGCTGGAGGTCACCTGAAGGGTCTGGCCACGGGCAGTGCCCACCCTGAGTACTGTACAGCAGTATGTCCTCAGGAAATGTCTCATGCAAATTATTCTGAGCTGCATGGTGACAGCAGAGTACCACTGCCTTTGCAAGAACTAATACAATTGTTAGTGGCAGCAGCAATGAAACGTGGAAAAACAAACCCAGCTATACCTTGTGTGTATAATCAGTTTTAAAGGAGACAATGCCCTTGTATTTAAACTCTGGCTGCCTTCTCATTGTTCGGATTTCTTTAAGGTTTCCCTGCCTATGGATAGAATTACAGTCTATTTTTAACTCCATCTAGGATTTGCAGTATGAACAGACCCCCATCAAACTCCCTACTCCAGCCAGCAATATTCCCTCACCAAAAAATGAGACAACTTTTACCATAGATTGTGTGTACTGACAAAGGGGAATTTGAAGCATTATCAATATAGAAAATTAGTTTTAAGTTATTTAAGTTGCTGAGATGAAACTGAGAAAGAAAGTGCTTGACGTAGAGAGACTGACCAGGGGGTGAGAAGGCCAAGTTTAAAGAGAAGCCAGCCCTGCTGTCTGCATTTCATATTAGCGTAAGAGAGGGGTGCTTCTCAGTAAGTCAGCTTCTCTGGAGAGACCGGTTACATGACTCTTGTTCTGTGGTGCTCAGGACAGCATTACCCAGCTCTGCACAGTGACTTTTTCAGGCAAATGCTAAGAAGAGTATGCATGCGGACACATGCCTAATGTGTACCAGGATTGCATGTTCCCACTGAGATTGGGGAGTGAGTTATAAGCCCTGTTTCCTCTTTGAGCTACAGAGCTGATGTTTATGTGATTGGACAGTTAAGGCAGAAATCCAATTACTGAGCTAATTAGCACCTTTGAAGGGTAAGCAAAAACTTTACAGGATGAAAGCATTGGAGAAAAGCTCAAATTAGCCAGTGTGGCTGACAGTCCACCTTCTTAGAGAATATGTGGAGAGCCAGAGGTCCTCAGGGTACACAGACAGCTTAGCTTAGTTTTTGCTCATCAGAATTTACACTGTATTCTACAGGCTTCTGAAAAGGTAGCTTTCCAGTGAACATAGTTTTAGAAGGTGTTTTAGTTCCCTAAGGAGTTTAGTAAATGACTTTCTTTTGTCTTAATCCTCCTTTAAAAATTGTTTATTCTGCTGCTGAAAATTCCATTTATGGTAGGTCTTAAGGTGAAATTAAAATTCCATTTAGAGACTAACTATGCAGACATGGGATTTCAGCCTTCATTACAAATAGTTTTGTTGTTTGCTCTATTTTCTGCTACCCTGAGATCTTTTATCTTTCAAAGCTGCTATGAGAGTATTTGTGAGGAAAACTGAAGCCGTAATAGAACAACGTGCTGGGGTTAACAGCCTTTCTGAAATGTAACACAGTATTTCTTCTCTCCAGCCCATGTGTAGAATCACAGAACTCAACAGGATCTTGCCTAGATGGTTCTCAAATGTCTAAGACACAACGGGAACAGAAATAATACTTTTTTTTTCTGGAGACAAGCCATTTCATTTATTCAAATTGTAGTTCCATCCAAATATCTTTTTATCTGTTTTGATTCCCAATAGACGTGTTCACAAAAGAAGTCTGCATTTTAGGTTTCTTCTTAAGCACCATTTCTGACAAGTGCTTGTCATTTATTAAATTATACAGAATATGTCAATGATCATATTTAAACATAAGCCACATATGCAGCATTGACTGGCAGCTGGTCTTCTTTCTTCTTAGCAAATATTGCAAGGACAGAAACCTCAGAAGTAGCCTTATCTTTGACCATTCAATGACTTATGCCGCAAATATTTATTGAGTGACTGCTATGTGCCAGACATGAGCAACAAACGTACTCTCATGGTACTTAGGGGCTGAAATAAGAGTCAGATATAATAAGATAATTACACAAAGAGATGTATGATATGGTGTAAAGGCTCCAGAGCCAGCCTCCCTAGGTTGTATTCTGCCTATACACCTGTTAGATCTATGACCTTGGGCACTCTACTTAATTTCTCTGTGCCTCCGCCTCATCCTCTGTGAGAATGGGTATAATGAGTACCTACCTCAGAGAGTCATTTTGAGGCAATAATAAGTTAATACATATCAAGTACTTAGTACAGGCACATGACCCAAGCAAGTGCTACATAAATATTAGCTGTCATTGTTTTGGAGCCTTGACAGGGGCCCCAAAAGAGATGTACAAGTACAATGCATGAAAGAGAACACGACAAAGGATTTTCACGCGGAGCAGGAGTCAAGGCAGCTTCCCTGAGAAGGTGAAACGTGAGCTGAGACTTGAAGAATGAGAGGAGTAAATGAGGAAAATGAGTGGGAATGGACAGGGATCCCCAAGTAGAGGGAACATTTGCAAAGCCTCCTGGAGAGGAGGGAGCATCAGGACTAAAAGATGTGGGCATGTTGAAGGTGTGGAAAAGGAAAGCCAACAGGGTTGGAGCAAAGAAAGCAAAGGGCAGACTAATAGAAAAGGCAGGAGCCAGGTGTGTTCAAGACCAGGCTTTCAATTGTCAGTGGGACTTTCATTACGCCCAAATCTTTAAGTAAACGCTATGTGTGATGCTGATATATGTGTAAGAAGTCCTTTCTTAATGGCTAATATATCAGATTTAACCATTTGAAATTGCCATTTTGTAGGTGATAATAAACAGATGACTATCATCAATTTCATAGGCTTGACGTCAATTTCATACTTCATTCTTTAAAGACCACCACTCAATATTGGAAAGAAAAGGACCAAGGTAGAGGCATAGCCTCTCCAAGCAGAGCAGATCGCTGCACTTACAAAGGGTTTTGGGGATGTGTGGAGTTCAAGGACTGCTGAGGTTTTGGGGGCATATGCGGGTTGACAGCATCTGTATAGGAGGTTACTTGAAGAACCTGTTGTTCATCAGTTGCCCCTCAGGAGTCTGCAGTGAGTTGGCTCTCAGAAGCCATGGACTGGCTGCCTTACAAAGGCTGTGCACTGAGAGGTGTTTTTGTGATTAAATAGGTTCAAAGCTGGTTCTAGTGACCACTTGTTACCATGGCTGCAGATGATCTGAGAGCTTTAATTCTCATGGTTCAACCTAAGAAAGGTCTGTAAGAGTATACCCAACTCTTGAAACCAAGTGGTAGAGATGTTGACTACTCACCGCAATTTCCTCGAATCAATTTGAAGAGAAAGATACCTATGTGGACACTGTTCTCAAGTTCTGAAAGTGGGTGGCATTACACTGGCAGGTTTTTTTTGTTTTTGCTTTTGAGGCAGTGTCTCACTCTGTCACCCAAGCTAGAGTGCAGTAGTACGATATCGGCTCACTGCAACTTCCACCTCCCAGTTTCAAGTGACTCTCCTGCCTCAACCTCCCAAGTAGCTGAGATTACAGCAGTGCACCACCACACCCTGCTGATCTTTTTTGTATTTTTAGTAGAGATGGGGTTTCACACCGTTTGCCAGGCTGGTACCAAACTCCTGACCTCAAGTGATCCGCCTGCCTCGGCCTCCCAAAGTGTTGGGATTACAGGCATGAGCCACTGTGCTTGGCCTAAATACTTGCTTTGATTCTGCAGATCTGGTGCTCCAAATTGATTAAGACCTAAGGCCATTCTCTCCTAATCAGATAACTACTCATCTCTCCTCTCCATGTGTTTCTTGTACTGCTCCCTCTATTTCTTATTATGAGACTCCTTTCTTCCTGCAGCATGGTAAAATTACAGCAATCATCTTAACCTGTGAGCTCTATTGCCTTTGCATTTTCTACTCATGCAGCTGATTCTGTAAACCAGCTTTTCCTCTTGTGGGGATCTAATCATGACCTTTTACCCTTTTGTGGCCTCTTCTAGCACAAGGCGAGTGGATAATTCCAACACAAGACTGGCAGTCCAGATTGAAAGGGATCCAGGTAAGAAGATCTCATCTCTCTTATTAAACTATTTATTATTATGTGGATGGATTCTCAAAAGGAAGAATTAAGTACTCCCTTTAAAATCATTGTGGAGACAATGCACATCTTAGTTAATATGTTAACTGTGGAACAAAACTGTGCAGGTAGACTGATCAAGCACCCTGATTTGGTTTAACAATGCATTGCTCCGTTATTTAGAATTGATTGGGAGCTTGCTCAGTATTGGGTAACTCTGTTAATAAAGACATTTTGGTTCATATGTAGTAAACCTCAAACACAGACTATAAATCTTGAGATTCATTTTTTAGAAAAAAAAATTTCTTGGAAAAACGTCAGCGTTATAATGTCCTTAAAGGCAAACTCTTCCAGGATCCAGGATCTAGAAGCTTGCGAAAAGTTTGGTCAACATTAAGCTATGGAAGGATTTACCTGCTAGAAAATTATTTTACCTTTTTCTTTCCATAATCAATCTCCTTTTTTAACCATTCCATTTCTTCTTTCCTCATATTAGAATGCAAATTTTGACTGTTCTCTATTTTATCCTCCTCACTCCCTTCTTTGTGCCCCAAAATCTGTCTCGGAACAATTGTATCATGCTCATTATCTATATTTGAATTGCATATTATACCTGATTAATTTGAAAGCAGAATTTGACATTTGAGATACATGGAAAGACAGGCTTATTTTTTCTTGAACTTCATGTCAGTACAATGAGGGAGGAGGGGATCTAGACATCTGAGGTGCAGCTGTGGGACTGTGGTGTTACAAGGCTATTAATATAAGGCAGAGGGACAGGTTCCCAAGCACATTGTGCTGTTAGTTAATCATAATTGCTGTCTTATTTTAATCTAATTATGCAGATGTGTGGTCAATGTGTTCTAAGGAGATGCCCTGAGTTGAATCTTTGCTTTTTTTTTTTGAGACGGAGTTTCACTCTTGTTATCCAGGCTGGAGTGCAATGGCGCGATCTCGGCTCTCCGCAACCTCCGCCTCCTGGGTTCAGGCAATTCTCCTGCCTCAGCCTCCTGAATAGCTGGGATTACAGGCACACGCCACCGTGCCCAGCTAATTTTTTGTATTTTTAGTAGAGACGGGGTTTCACCATGTTGACCAGGATGGTCTCGATCTGTTGATCTCGTGATCCACCCGCCTCGGCCTCCCAAAGTGCTGGGATTACAGGCTTGAGCCACCGCGCCCGGCCCGAATCTCTGCTTTTTTCTGAGACGGAGTTTCGCTCTTGTTACCCAGGCTGGAGTGCAATGGCACAATCTCGGCTCACCGCAACCTCCACCTCCTGGGTTCAGGCAATTCTCCTGCCTCAGCCTCCTGAGTAGCTGGGATTACAGGCACGCGCCACCATGCCCAGCTAATTTTTTTTTTGTATTTTTAGTAGAGACGGGGTTTCACCATGTTGACCAGGATGGTCTCCATCTCTTGACCTCGTGATCCACTCGCCTCGGCCTCCCAAGAATCTCTACTTTTAGTGATTTTATTTGTTTTGTTTTATTTAAACATTGAACAGTTTGAACAATTAAGCAAAGGCTAATTCTCTCATTCAGGCCTTTCCTTTCAAAGTGCCAGAGACTGAAAGTAATCTTTAATTAGTGTCTCAGGATGCATGCTGCTTCATCAGAGAAAATGAATATAGTGCAGGTGAAGGAGGCTTCATCTGCATAGAAGATTAAGCATACTGATACTTTATTAGACTACGTGGCATGACTCAGCCCACAGAACAGTTTCTTTCCATTAATCATAATTAGGTTGTAAATACTCTAATTTCGATTCAGGTTTCAACTGTCATGAGTACCCAGCAAAGATATTCATAATCTGATAGTGTTATTCTGTAGATGTCTTAGAGGCAGATTGGTGATCTTCCTTATGTAAGTGCCTTGGGGCATCTTCACCTTCTTATACCATCCCCTGCCCTCTGCACCCTGATTGTGCCCCAGTTCCCATGGATACAAAGCAGGGATGCTTCCTTCAGTCAGATCTGCAGCCCTCATCTCTGACCTCCCAGAATCTCTGTCTCCACTCAAATGGACAATCCAGAAGGGAGCCTTGAGTTTTGCTTTAGGCATTTCGTCTTTGGGACAACTATGTCTCTGGCTCTCCAGAGCCATAATTTCCTCTCCCAAAGAAAAACTGGTCCTAAAATAAAAGTCATGAAGGTGAACTTTTTTCCTAGGCTTTTCCCAATGCTTGCTCCACCCACAGGACCACAGACCAGGAAGACTTTCCATGTTATCCAATCTTCTGTTTAAAAAATATTATATCCCTCATCTTGAGAGATGGTGTAAAAGGGAGGAAAAGAGTCAGAGCTCAGCAGGAATGATATGGGAAATGCACTACACACTCCCAATTTCACCCCCACTCAACACACACCCCTAGCTTTCTACGGGGAAACAAAGTATTTCATCATTCCCTCTCCTTTGATGCTTCCTCCTTCACCTTCCTTGGATGTCTTTATCCACCCAATTAAAATGGCCAAAGTTAAACAAACAAGCAGTAATGGACAGTTCCAAGTCCTGGCAAGGATGCAGAATTAGAGCTCTCAGTCACTGCTGGGGAAATGCAGAAAGGGTACAGGGACTTTGGAAAACAGCAGTCCCATGCCTAAGCGTTTACTTAAAAGAAACGGGGAGAGTCATATTCACACAAACTCCTATTCATAACTTTGGTAGTGGTTTTACCCATAAACACCAAAATGGAAACAACCCAGGTGCCCTTCAGCTGATGAATGGATAAACAAATAGTAGAAAATGTATACAGAGGGATATTACTCAAAGGTGAAACAGAACAAACTCATATATACAACGGTTGAACGCATTATTCTAAGTGCTGGTTATATGACTACATGCATTTCTCAAGACTCATAGACTAGTACACTACAGTGGATGAATTCTACCCTACATAAATTATTCTAAACCTGAATTTTTAATTTATATATAGTTTAAGAACAAATGGCATCCATTTTTATATAGTATAGCATGTTATATAACATGTAAAATATATATTTGCATATAACAAGTAATACTAGAAATAATTGTATTATATATTATAGCATATATATATATATATATAAATTGATGCTGCTTATTGCCTTTAAATTGTACAGAAAGAATATAGAGGGAAAAATAGGATGTTCTCATATAATCTACTAACATGTCAAAGAACAGATTTTTTCTCTTTTATGTATACATAGAGTCTGATGTTACCCTTAATCAGATGACAGCTCCCTGTTTCCTAGATCTGGGTACACAGCAGGGAGTAGGCATTCGCTGATCATATTTCTTGTCTGCCTTTAGGGAATGATGACAACAACCTCAATTCCATTTTTTATGAACACTTGACAAGGACCCTCCAGGAGTCCCTCTGTGGAGACTTAGTTCTTGGTCGTTGGGGCAACTACAGCTCTGGCGATTGCTTTATTTTGGCTTCAGATGACCTCAATGCCTTTGTTCACCTGATTGAAATTGGAAATGGTCTTGTCACCTTTCAACTTCGAGGACTAGAATTCAGAGGTAAGAATTTCTTCATTGTGGAAATTGTTTAAAGTTGGTTGCTTGAGTTAATTATCAAGCAAAACTTTAAGAAGAAGTCACCATTACACAGGAAAAACTTAATGTCTTCCTGCTGAAAGAGACCTTCCTACCATTATCTTCATATAAATAAACTCTAGTCAGCCGAAGGAATAAAAACATAAAACATATAATGGCATGTAAACTTGTGGATTAGCAAACCAAGAAACTGATTTATTGGTGAATCTGGGTATTGATTTGAATCCTTCTTGGAAAAACTCAGAAGCCACAGAAGATTGTGGGGAGTAGCTGGGCTCCAAACGGAGTCAGCCAGACCCCATTCTGTGGATTACAGGTGTTGGGGGTCTGTTTGTGCAGATCATTTAAGGTCTTTGAGCTTTTCTTTCCTATCTGCAATATAATAATGTGAATGGCTGCCGTATAATGTTGCTATGTGGTTTAAATGAGATCATCTAGAAGGTACTTCATAAATTCTCATTGCTTTATGGTTATTGAGGGTGTCTGAATCTTGAAAATGTAACCCCAGTTTTCCCGCAAATCAGGACCTGGCGTTATGTGGGATGCAGAGAGTGTCATAGTGATGTACTTTGTTGCCTTCTCCCTCATTGTTTATTCCTTTACTCACTGCGTGTTTTCTGGACACCTCCTCTGTATCCGGCAGTGTTTTAATGCTGGAGATGCAATGGACAGGTGACATGAAAGAGTCTTAACCTGATGAAGCTTACCTCCAGTGAGGGACACCTAAAGTAAACAAGTCAACAAAGAGGTAGACTAATTACAGCTTGGAGCAAGTGCTATGAAGGAAGTAAATAGGGTTCTGGAACCCAAAGTCACTGCAGAGGATGAGGGTGAGAAGGTGACACATTCAATGGGATGGTCAAGGAAGGCCTTGAGAGGCGAGGACAGAAGAATGTCCCCAGTGTAGGAACTGACACCTGCTAAATGCATGAGTCAGGCAGCATCTCAGAGCATTCCTGACATCTTGGAGGACTTAAGTGACTAGGGCTGACCACCGCTCACAGCAACTTAACATAAGCCAGCAGGAAGCCCAGTAACATGAGATCTCCCCGCCAGTGTCAGGAACTATGTGATATTCTCTAGGTTATGGGGAACAGTGCAGGAACTCTGGAGGAGAGAATGGGTGGCCCTCTCTACACTTTAACAGATTGGTCTGGTGGCTGTGTGGAGAATGTACTGGGAGAAGAGAAAAGTAGAAGCAGGGAAACCATTTATGACTGCAGTGTAGATACCTAAGCAGAAGATGATGGCAGAGACAGGGCTTCCCTGCCAGAGACTGGGAGGTGGAAAGAGAGGGGCTAGATGTTGAGGGTGAGTGAGAGGGGAGGCTCTGCTTGCCCCCAAGTTTCTAGATCAAGTATCTGCATGGGCAGAGGTATATTTACTAAAACAGGGATGCTTGGAAGAAGAATAGGACTTTTTGGTCTGGTGGTGGAGGCATTCGAGTGAATGCACCAAGGAGCTAGTACAGTCTGACAGTTACTCAGGGGACATTTATTTAGCACCGATTATATGTCATGCACTAGTGAAGGAATCAGGAGTACAGAAGTGAAACCCCCACCTTACGATCCTGGGAGCCTCACAGAGAAGACAAATATGGAAGAAGCTCATGTGAAATGAATGTTGCATGAAATGAATGTTTTGACAGTGTCCTGCCAGGGCCGCATTAGGGACCAGAGGAGAGGCACGGTGTCAGGTCGGAGTCTGAGTCAGCTCAATGGAGGAGAAAGAGGAAGGGTCTTACCTGCTAAGGAGCAGCAGGTGTGATGACAAAGAAGCACCAAGTCATCCGATGTGGTTCTCAGCAGGTAATAGTTATGGGTAATGCTAGAAAGGTGAGCAGGAGCCAGTTCATACCTGTTAAAACCCTCACTGTGAACAAAAGGACATCTTTTAGCCAAAAACAAGTTGTCATTTTCTCCTATCTTGAACACTTATCTAAAGATGATCAGTTACCTCAGTTCTTTGAATGAGAATTTCTAGCATTGGTTTTGCAAATATCCATGCCTTTTCACATTCCTAAATAAATGTATACAAAAGCTTTTTTTTTTCTTGAGTAGTAGGTTCTGTGTTTAAGGTGTGCATTCTGTGAACTTTTCTGAATTTTGAGAATCTAATTTAATTTAGACAAGGTTATTGAGCAAGGGAATAGTGATAAATCAATATAGATTAATCACAGAAGGGATATTTCCCCTACATTTAGCACAGATGCCAGAAAAATGCCACGAGAGGTGGTGAAAATACATGTCTCCAGTGCAATAATACAACAGAACTGTCCTGCTCTCTGAATTTCTGAATCTCAGCTCTTTTGAGAGCTTTTCTTCCTTTTTTTTTTTTTTTAGTATATTCCTTTTTAAATATAATTTCAACTTTAATTTTAGATTTAGGGGGTACGTGTGCAGGTTTATTCCATGGATATATTGTGTGATGCTGAAATTTCAGGTATGAGTGGTCCCATCACTGAGGTGCTGCCCATAGTACTCAACAGTTTCTCAACCCTTGCCCTTTTCTCTACCTACAATGTCTCCTAGTCCCCAGTGCCTACTGTTGCCTTCTTTATGTCCATTAGTACCAAATGTTTAGCTCCCACTTATATGTGGGAACATCTTGTATGTGGTTTTCTGTTCCTGCATTAATTTGCTTAGGATAAAGGCCTCCAACTGCATCCACGTTGCTGCAAGGGACATTATTTTATATTTTTTATGGCTGCATAGTATTCCATGGTGTATATATACCCCTAGTTTCTTTATCTAGTCTACTGTTGATGGGCACCTAGGTTGATTCCATGTCTTTGCTATTGTGAATAGTGCTGCAGTGAACATATGAGTGCATGTGTTTGGTAGAACAGTTTATTTTATTTGAATATATATATCCCGTGATGCGATTGCTGAGTTGAAAGGTAGTTCTATTTTAAAGTTCTTTGAGAAATCTCCAACTGCTTTCCACAGTGGCTAGACTAATTTACATTCTCATCAAGCATGTATAAATGTTCCCTTTTCTCTGCAGCCTTGCCAGCATCTGGATTTTTGTTTGTTTGTTTTACTTTTTAATAATAGCTATTCTGATTAGTGTGAGATGGTATCTCACTGTATTTTTATTTTAATTTCTTTAATGATTAGTTATGTTGAGCATCTTTTCCATGTGTTTTTGGCCACTTGTATGTCTTCTTTTGAGAAGTATTTGTTCATATCTTTTGCCCATTTTTTAATTGGATAATTTATTTTTTTGCTTTTTTGATTGTTGAATTCCCTTATAGATTCTGGATATTAGAGTTTTGTCAGTTACATAATTCGAGAATATTATCTCCCATTCTGTAGACTGTCTTTTATTCTGTTGGTAGTTTCTTTTCCTGTGCATAAGCTCTTTAGTTTAATTAGGTCTCACTTGCCAATTTTTGTTTTTGTTGCAATTGCTTTTGAAGACTTAGTTATAAATTATTTCCTAAGGCCCATGTCCAGAATAATGTTTTTAGGTTATCCTCCTATAGTTTGAGGTCTTACATTTCAATATTTAATTTATCTTGGATTAATTTTTGTATATGGTGAAAGTTAGGGGTCCAGTTTCCTTCTTCTGCGTATGGCTAGCCAGCTATCCCAGCACTATGTATTGAATAGGGAGCCCTTTCCCCATTGCTTATTTTTGTTGACCTTGTCAAAGATCAGATGGCTATAGGTGTATAACTTTTTATTTCTGGGTTTGCTATTATGTTCCATTGATCTGTGGGTCTTTTTTTGTACCAGTACCATGCTGTTTTGGTTACTACAGGCTTAGAGTATAGTTTGAAGTAAGGTAATTGATGACTCTGGCTTTGTTTCTTTTGTTTAGGATTGCTTTTGCTATTTGGGCTATTTTTTGGTTCTATATGGACTTTAGAATAATTTTTTCTAGCTCTGCAAAAAAATGACATTGGTAGTTTGATAGGAATAAAGTCTGTAGACTGCTTTGGGCAGTATGGTCATTTTTAAATTATTATTATACTGTAAGTTCTGGGATACATGTGCTGAACCTGCAGGTTTGTTACATAAGTATGCACGTTCCATGGTGGTTTGCTGCAGCCATCAACCCATCATCTACCTTAGGTATTTCTCCTATTGCTATCCCTCCCCTCGTTCCCACCCCCTGACAGGCCCTAGGGTGTGATGTTCCCCTCCCTGTGTCCCTGTGTTCTCATTGTTCAATTCCTATGTTGATTCTTCCAATCCATGAGCATGGAATGTTTTTCCATTTGTTTGTCATCTATAATGTTTTTTAGCAGTGTTTTTGTAGTTCTCCTTGTAGAGATTTTTTATCTTTTTGGTTAGATGTATTCTTAGGGGTGTGTGTGTGTGTGTGTGTGTGTGTGTGTCTATTGTAAATGAAATTGTGTTTTTGATTTGGCTCTCAGCTTGAATGTTACTGGTGTGTAGAAATGCTACTAAGTTTTGTACATTGATTTTTTTTTATCCTGAAACTTTACTCAAGTTATTTTATCTGTTCCAGGAGCCTTTTGGTAGAGTCTTAAAGGGTTCTCTCACTATACAATTATATGATCAATGAAGGGATATATTTTGACTTCTTTTTCTATTTGGATGTCTTTTATTTATTTCTCTTGACTGGCTGCTCTCACTAGACTTCCTGTCCTATGTTGAATAGAAGTGATAAGAGTGGGCATCCTTGTCTTATTCCAGTTTCAAGGGGAATGCTTCCAGTTTTTGCCTATTCAGTGTGATGCTTAGCCATTTGTCATAGATGAGTCTTATTATTTTGAGGTATGTTCCTTCTATGCTTCATTTCCTGAGGTTCTTTACCATGAAGGTATGTTGAATTTTATGGAAAGGGTTTTTTTCATGTCTATTGATATGATCATATGGTTTTTGTTTTTAATTCTGTTTATGTGATGAATCACATTTATTGACTTGTGTATATTGAACCAACCTTGCATCCTAGGAATGAAGCCTACTTGATCATAGTGAATTAACTCTGAC